CTCTCTCTCTCTCTCTCTCTCTCTCTCTCTCTCTCTCTCTCTCTCTCTCTCTCTCTCTCTCTCTCTGTGTGTGTGTGTGTGTGTGTGTGTTGTCATGTTTGCTATACACAAGTCCACAAAAACAAGCATGACTGTGCCAGACTGTTTCGTCGGACTTTCACCATGTGCGTGTGTGTGTGTGTGCGCGCGTGTGTGCGCGTGTGCATGGTTGTGGGTGTGTGTTGTTGCGCACCTTGTGTACTATCCGTTTTGGTAAATGCAGGCCCCTCAGCTCCAGATGCTTACTGCCGGTGCGATGGCAGGGGCCACCTCTACAACCATTCTCTATCCTCTTGACGTCGTCAGAAGTCGACTGACTGTCCAAAATTGCGGGCAGGTAAGGAAATACTATGGTGGTCGCAAATGTCCCTATACGTCCAACAACATGGCATGCTGGGAACTTCTTGGGCCCAGCGTTCCTGAAGAAATTTCATTAATTTAATTAATTAATAATTAATTAATAATTATTAATTACTAATTAGTTGTTTAATGATACCTTTGAGGATACGGAAACCATTACCCAGCTTCAGCTGAGAAAGCTTTCGGACAGCCTCATTGTTTGGCTGGTGTCTGCAGCAAGTAGCTAGTTAAATGCGGCTGTCCAAAAGATTTCTCAGCTGAAGCAGGCACCAGCTGTTCGGAGTAAGGATACAAGCAAATCTGTATCTTCCGAGCAGAGCGCAGAGCAGGCCGAGCGGCTCAGAAAAAAAAACAGAATTTCCAGCTGGCCGGAGAATAGATTGTTTGTTAGTATCGTTACTCACAGAAATGCTTGTAAGCGCAGAGCAGGCCGAGCAGCTCAGAAAAAAAAAAACAGAATTTCCAGCTGTTCGGACCCTTGCAGCTGTGACTTTACTGGGATGTATGTCAGCCCCAGATGCGGCTAAATTCAGTCAAGAAATTTCCAGTAGTGTTAGTATGCCTTCATAGTTCTGTGAAACCTTCAGTCAGCTCGTGCCACTGCTCATGTTGACACTTTGTTGCATTGCAAATTATTTTTTATTGGATGTCTGTGGCCCCTGATGCGGCCAGATTCAGGCGCGCAGCCTTTGTTCTGTGAATCCTGCAGTCAGCTTGTGCCACTGCTGGAGTCCTTTGCCTTGCATGTTGACACTTGGACGACTTTGCACGCTAAATGAATGTGCATTCCAAATTGCTCTCCGGGATGTATGTGACCCCTGATGTGGCCAGATTCAGTTGAGAAATTGTTAGCTCTGCATACCCTGCAGCCAGCTTGTGCCATTGCTCGAGCGCTCTCACTTGCATGCTGACAGTTTGAATTCGCATTTCACATCGTTCGGTTCGGTTTGGTTCGGTTGTTTTTTGCAGTACAAGGGAATCTTGGATGCATTGATAAAAATTCCACAACAGGAGGGGTTCTTTGCATTGTACCGAGGTGAGCCTCCTATCTCTCCCATTCCCTGAAAGCGGTGAGGATGTAATGAGTGATCATCCTTACCTTGGAGAAGCATTGGCAGTGCCTGACCATTATTATGGTAGTTTGAAGTTTGAACCACCAGTAGCGCTGCGCGGAAAAAAAAAA